TTCGTGGTTTCGGTGCATCAATTTTCGAAGATTTCATTGACGGTGGACGTTTATTTTTAAAGTTGGAGGAAGAAAAAAAAATGCGATCGGAAGCCCAATTGAAATTTGAAATTGAACTCTATAAAAAAGGTGACGAGATCAACAAATTAACAGAAAAATGTGAAGATCAACAAAAAATAAAAGCAGCTTTAGGTTGTCGTATAGCTGATTTGGAAGAATTGGAAAAATATTATAAAAAGCAAATTGTACTTTTGCAAAATCAATTACATAGATCTATGAATACCACAAACATCAACGTAATTACTTCATATTATTTTGGTATTGTTTCTATTTCAATAATGTTTTTTTTTTTTAATTTTATTTTAAGGACGTGAATACAAAAGAATTGATTAATTGTTTAATGCATGGAGTTATGAAATCAGAAAAATTTCCTGCATATGTACGTGAAGTAGCAATCAACATGCACTATCACAGTCCTCGTGCATACGAATTCTTGCGTAAAACTTTCAACAACAATTTGCCGCATACATCAACTTTACGTAGGTGGTATGCACATTCTGACCTGAATACAGGGCCAGGAATCACTACCAAAACTTTGGAATTTTTGAAGAAGAAAGTAATTGAGAAAAAAAAAATGAACAAGGAGTTGGTTGTTTCGGTTTGTTTTGATGAAATGTCGATTCGCAAGCAAATTATTTGGAGTAGGCATATTGGTATGATGCAGGGATACGTCACGTATGGATGTGATGACAAAGACGACCCATTGATTGCTAAAGAAGCCATAGTATTTGTTGTGAGCGGCCTCAATGAAAAGTTTCGTATTCCAGCAGCATATCACTTTGTGAATTCATTAGATGCAATTAAAAAAGCGGCGTTGGTGAATCTTGTACTTGTAGCACTGACAGAAACAGGTAAATATTTTGATATAATTTCAAATTTAATATTTTTTTATTGTTTTCTTGACATTTTTTCGTAGGCGTTACGATTGCTAGCCTTACATTTGACGGTCATCCAACAAACTAAGCAATGTGCAAAATTTTGGGAGCCAATTTAAATGTTTATGACCGGAATTTTCGACCGTTTTTTATTTTGAATAAAAAACACAAGATACACATATTTTATGATGTTTGCCACACAGAAAAGTTGGTGCGTGGCCAATTTGATAAAAAGGGAACATTTTTCAATAAAGATGATCATGGCCTGGAAATGCCTATGTAATTTACATATAAACGAGTGAGACTCAAACATGTTCTTCTTTTTCCATCAAATATACCAGTGGCGCCACCAATTTTACATATAAGCGCATACAAAATTTTCAATATGGCTGCGCCCATGAGAGAGAAAATTTCGTCTCATTCATTTCCGCCCCATGAAGATGATGAAGAAATCAAATGAAACTACATCGCACAGTTGATCAAATTTAGCCAAGAAAAAGGATTTTCATTTTCCCATAAACTGAATCAGTCACATTTGGAATGGCGCCGTAGACCGATGAACGTTCGAATAGCTGTAGAAACGTTGAGCAAGTCTACTGCAGAATCAATACAGTTTTTAATGCAGAATGGCTATCAACAATTCGCAGGTGCATCTCCAACTATTGAATTCATCGAAATTTTTGATAAGGTTTTCGATATATTTAATACAAAGTCTATGAAAACAAATGAAAACATTTTCAAAATTGCTATGAACCGTGATAATAAAGATGACATCATACATCTATTTAATGAGGTTGACGCATACATTAAGGATTTAAAATTTAAAAAAGAAGCGGGAGAAGTCAGAAAGGTTTGTCGGTCAGAATTTAAAACTGGTTTCAGCGGAACTATAATCAATATCAAATCATTAAAGAATATGTATGAAGAATATGTTGAATCGGAAAAGCCACTTTTGTCATATATTCCTACATATTATATCAATCAGGACGCAGTGGAAATGTTTTTCGGGAAAGTGCGATCTCTTGGGCGTTTTAATGATAACCCGAACGTGATACATTTTCAGGCGGCCTATCGGAAACTTTTGGGATGTGATTCCATTTTACTTTCTAGCAAAGGAAATTGTGAAGCATTTAATCCCAACGAAAACCCGTTTTCTGACATTTTACATGTTTCATCACGACGTGATAAACATCATAACGAAACCAATGAAGGTGATGAATTTATCGTAGCTGAAGAGGTTGAAATTCTTTACGAGAAGTTGGCCGATTTGGATGCATCTGGTGAAAGCGGCCTTACTGACAGTTTACAAAATAATACAATTGCTCATATTGCCAACATGATCGAAGATAGAATCAAAAGAACAGAAAATTGTTCGGAATGCGTGGAAGTTTTTAACAGCTGCGATAAAGTTGAAAATACTTTTCAGTCTTCACGAATTCAGTACAAACCATGTAAGAGCACTTACATTATCTGCAAAGAAGCAGATCGTTTTCTGCGACTACAGTTCCTCAAAGAAAATTTAAATTTTAATACAATTTATTTTTCAATAATAAATAATATTCCAATTGAGCGCATGTACATTGAAGCAGATTTTAGCCGCCATTCAGATCATAAACTCTATCTCATTCGTGCGGTTATTGATTTGTTTATTCATATCAAAGCAACTTTTATAGCAAGATCAACAACGAAAGACATGCATTCTAAACTGTTCAGATACAAGTTCAGAAAAATGGTACATTTTTATGGACAATAGTTTGTAATCGTAATATGTTGAACGAGTATCATTGTTTATTATGTTAAGACTTTGCAATCCATTTTTTTGGTCTCCTTGCGTAATAAAAATTTCTAACGCCAGACAAAAATGTTTACATTCTCATATCATAAACAAAAAATATTAATTAGAATACGTCACCAATCGACTCATGTTTCTTATTTATTTAATAAAACGCTATTTGATATAAAGTTTGAAACTGTATTTTCTTGTATTTTAATTCAAAAATAAATTCATTGAAAGGTTCAAGCTAATCAAAGCAAATAAAATGTTTGAATTAAACTGTTTTAATCGAACACGATGTGGTTTTGGTAGAAACGAATGACAAGCTGTGGCCACATCTTATTTGCCTTTTTTGCCGCAACAAATTTGCACGGAATATCTTCACCATGAGACTTGAATTGGACCCAGAACAATAGTTCCCGTGTATGCGTCGCATCTAAAATTATTTCAAAAACATTAATTGGAGATTTTACATGCAAAATTTCAGTATTTTATCATATATTAAATCATTTACATAAAATATGTTCTGGTTCATCGTCATCGTTGATGCCAGTCGATTCTACCGTTGGCATTGCGTCGGCAACATTTGCATCAGTTGGGTGCGTCCAATTTAATCTTTTTTCGTAAAAGTGAATGACATTTTGCGGCCAATAATCGTTTGCTTCGGTGGCGATGATTTCCTCGGTTCCTTCGTTGAATTGCATCAAAAAAAACAATTCGCCATTTTTCTGCTTGGCTCCTAATAATTAAAAAATTCAATGAACTTTCACCATATAGTTTTTTTTGTTGACTAACGAAAAACAACTTACCCAAAACAACGCCTTTTCGCTTCTTCTCAAAGTTTTCCAGCAAATCTGGACAATCCAAATTGTTTTTTGGTTCCCATGAATTTTCGCTTTTGTCAAAGCCAACCCACTTCAACAAATATTCAAATTCCTTGAATTTAAGATAAATAGATTAGTGAACACACTTCTTCATTGATTATTATATTTGAAAAGAAAACAACTCACTTGATTTTCATTGAATCTCTTTTTCAATATTTTTTCAACTTCGAACTCCATCATTCACTGTGGTTTGGATTTAATGATTTTGTTCGAAGTTACCGTAGACTATTTTCTGAGATCGTATTACGAATTTTCCAGACAGAACCGTTGAAATATTCTTTGTACACCTTTTCTTCTTCGCACAAAAATTACAAATGTGTTTCTTTGACAGTATGGTGTTTGACACTTATATTAGAGTTTGAAGTATTTTATAACTGAAATTCGAGTTGAAAATGACACCTAAAGTTAGGCAATTCTATATAAAAATTGTTGAGTACAAATTCCAACATAAAATTGCACATTTAAATACTAGGAGGTGTTTGGTCGCAGTGGTGAATCTGTGATTGCCCTCCGAATACATCTCTCTTTTTGCATGTTATCACTTAAACTTGAATGTTTTTACATACCCTAAATATGGGCATGCAATTGTTTTTTTGGGAACAACATGATTATTATTTAGGAATATAAAAAGACTGTTATCAAATGAACTTTACCACACATTTCTATAGAAATAAGTCGATTAATAATGGGCTAGATGTATCACAAAAAAGGTCAAAAGTTGATTTTTTTAATGTAAGTCACATGGGCGGAGATAAACATGAGGCTCTCAATCATTCTTATCAAAATTGACTGTTGAGAGCAAATGCTATTTGGATTTTATGAAATAATATATAAACGATAGGAGACCGTATATAAGAATTGCGATGAAAGTATATACCATTTGACGGCCTAAGAAGAAAACAATAACATACAGAATATTCTGCAAAAAGACGAATACAAATTTATGTGAGCAAAAACCAAATATACAAACAGACAGCGCAAAGGTAAAACAGCCTACTTACATAAGAAACACATTTGATCTTTCATAATTTACTTTTAAAAATGCAATTCAAATGAATTTTCAATTTTTAATTTCAATTCACCTCTCGGTATTCCGACATTTGGTCGTGTGTCGACATTTGGCAATCTACTGTAATTCAACTTCAATCGCAGTTGACTATATAGACAAAAACGTCCCAAATTAGTCAATAGTCATCTGTTTAAAATGACATACATAGACGACTAAAGTCGACTGGGTAGACGACTTCAGTTAACAAAATTCAATTTCAGTCGATTTCAGCTAACCAGTCAGTCAGTCACTCTTTTTCCACACGGGTACCAGCCCTTTAGCTCGACTATGAAATTAACAACATGTTCTTCGTATCTTTTGCTCTTCAATCGACGTTGGTACATTTTTCCAATGATATGACTCGATATGACTTAACACCAATGCGCATACACTACGATGTAATGGAAAATAAACAGGCGCACGACAAACGAATTTGTACCTGAGGGTATTGAACTGACGATTTTCGCTAAAAGTACGAATACAGCAAAGAGAGCATTCGTACTTTTACTTCGTGTTACCTGTTTTAATGTTAATTGTTCTATTTGTGAATGCGGTCAAACGATTGCGTTAAAAACTAAATTTTAATTTTTCGATACTAACTAAGAGTGAAAATGCGCACGCAAGGGGAAAACCGGTACTGAAATACTAAATATACTCAGCACACAAATGACAACTACCCAAGTCAGTATAATACTCTTTTCGAAGAGTGTGGACGCTCTTCTC